CTTCATGTCCATCAACCGAACCACCTGAGCTCTCCAGGCTAATTGAGTCAACAAAACTTCAGTCCCATCAACAGCAATGGTGACTTGATATGGTATGTGACGCTCATGAGAGCCAGCACTGTCCTCAGTGCTTTCACTTTTCATCATTGTCATTTGCTGTATTTCTGGTTTGGGCCAGATCCAGGGAAAAAATGGCTTTCCAAAAAAGAGGACTGTTCCTGGAGCAGAATAAGCCGGCTTCCCAAACACCCGCCATGCCAGGCAAGGGAAAAGGTTTGCCTTTAGAAAGAAAATAAATAATGCCTGCTTTATGGCAGCCAAGACATTATGTATTCCATTTGGTGCGGGTTCTCACTTCAGGATCAATGTGTATCTGTGTGCAAGCCAAAGTCCTTGCCTTCCTGGCCTTATTTTCCACGCCAATAAACGCAAAATGCTTAGGCAGCACAGAGGCATGGCAGCTGACAGGCCTCCCGATCACTGGGAACATGTATGAGAACAAAGAGGTCTCTGAGAGCATGGTGGGTAAGCGCATGCTTTAAGGCGGGGTGCAGAGCAGACAGGAGCTGGAAGCCTTCCTCTGGGGAAGTAGAGGGTTTCCTCCTCCCCACCTCTCCTCCTCCATGAGCAGGCTGGGATCTGCTCCACAGTGTCCCACAAGAGTCTAGGATAAGGAAGGGACGTGAGGTGGCCTTCAATCTAGTGCCTCCAGCCGCCTGACTAAGCATCGGTCCCCTCAGGGCTGAATTCAGATGGGGCAGGAGTGCCTGGGCCAGACCCTGAGCTACCCAGGGGAGCTGTGATCTGCACACCTCGCTTCTGTGCCAAGGAGAGCAGCAGGTCTCACGAACACGGCAGAAGGGCAGTGTTTGACCTCTGCAGGGGCTGGAGACCACAGTCAGCCATGCAGGCAATAAACTGTGCCAACACGACCAATCCCACAGAAACCCTGGCCCAAGGCTCAGGGCAGTTTCCCCGATGGGCAGTGCTCTGTGCGTGCTGTCACCTGTCACTGCTGGGGACAAATACGAGCTGTCTGCGCAGCTCTATGGAAGAGACCAACCTGAAGCTCGTGCCTGGTCTCTCTGAACTCGGCCCTAGGTGCCTCTTCCTTCTGCTGACTTTGGTCTATATCCTGTCACGGTAAACAACCTTGATCACGAATATAATAATGGCTTTTTGAGTTCTGTGAGTCCTAACAAATTACTGAACCTGAGGGTGGGCTTGGGGACCCCTAAACCGCACTCCCAGTGCTTCCTGCATGGGTCTGAGGGCCTGTTTATGTCGTGTGATTGAACTCTGGCTTTCCCCTAATGGGCCAGCTCCTGGGCAATCCCTTCAACACGATCAGTCTGGAGGAGCAGGAAGGGTCTCCCCAATCCCATGTAGCCTCTGGGACGCTGTGTCAAAACCATTACTGCTTAAAAACCCTTCTCTTCCCTAGTCTGTGCTGTCACTGTCACCCTGCCACTGTCTGCCAACCTCCAACATGCTGTCCCTTCTGCAAGGACCACAGTGGGTTGGCTCTCCCTCTTCACCTAGTCAGGGGTCTCACCCCTGCGTGCACATCAGAATCATCTGGAAGCGTCCCAGAGCTCCGATGCCCTCAGCAGCCCGACTTGCCCACCTCAGCCCCACTCAGCAGAGCCCACTTTTGATTTGTTATCCCTTAGACCGATGCAGAAGCGAGTTGCCCTGCTTCCTGACCACAAGTCGGCGCACACACAACACTGAAGGTCTGGCGGGAAATGTATTAGAACCGGAAGGAATCCAGTTAGACAAGCGCGGGCAAAGCATGGACATGAAATCAGCAAGGATTCATATCCACACAAGCATGCTGCTCATTTACTGCGATTAGTTGTGAGAACGCATATGTCTTTTAGCACAGAGTAAAAATTAAAATGCAACCAAGGGGGGGGGAGGAAAATTTCTGTTTTCGGTGGCAAAGAATTTCGACTTACTCTGCAAACATACTGGCTCCGTGCCCCAGGCGAGAAAGTCTGGGAACGGACAATTGTGCTACTGCGGACGAAAGGCGACGCGCGGGCCCTGCGGCTGGGCCGCTCCTTCGGCAGAATCGCTAGTTCTTCGGGGAAGAGGTCTTCTGTGTTGGTTTCCTTATCAACCTAGACAGTAATTCATTTATTACCACGACTTTTTCTGGAACACAGAAATGAACTTCGCATGTACCACCACGTTCTTGCCTTCTCCGCTTGGAGCTCTAACTGGCGTTTCACACTTAACACATCCAAACCTGAGTTTCTGCTATCCCAACCCCTCCTCCTCTGACAAGGATCTCTACTTGCCATTTTTCATGCCAAAGAAGTCCCCGTGTCATTGTGCACTCTGTTCTCTTTCGCACACCCTGTATCTGATCCAAGATCAAATCCTGTATTCAAGACTACGCATGTTTTGACCGCCTGTCACAAACCCTCCATCTGGATCACCGTAGTCTTGGGCCCAATTCGTGCAGTAGGTTTCTCACCCATGTCCTTAATTCCATGCCTGCCCCCCTTCAATCTCCTCTCAACACAGCACCCAGGAGCTCCTGCTAAAATCGAAATTAGACGCAGCCATTCCTCTCCGAAAAGTCTACCTGAAAGACCTGAAAACCTGAGTTTGCTACCAAGAATGGAGAGGGCGTCTAAGCTGCCCCAACCTGATCAGTAACCAAGGGAACACAGTAAATTCCTAAGTGAGGCCTTCCGTGGAGCTAGTCACGTACGCTCCCTAACAGTCCCAATTACAAAGATAAATGATCATGGAAGGCAGAGCCTGTTCTTTCTACATCCTGATAAAGGTTTCAAAATAATTGCTTCCAGACCCATTCCCATGACTCCCTGACTCCAGATATGTGATGACCCTACCTTATCTGTGCATTCCCTCCCCCGTGTGGAATCGTTTCCTTGAATGTATGGAACGCACTGAAACTGCTGACGTGTAGCCGTCTCTCAGTCCTCCGGCCTATAAAAGTGCTCCTCGCTCACTTGCCTGAAGTCAGACGCTGTTTCAAGGCTTCTTGGAGCTCTGCTCTCGGGCATGTCCTCCATTGGGCCCACATCAAAAAGTCTTTTCTGAAATCTACAAAGGTCCAAGTCTTCTTTTCATCAACAAAACAAATACTTTCACACAAATGTTCACAGCAGCACTTTGAAATAGCCAAAAGGTGGAAACAGTCCACATGTGCAGACGGAGCAGATAAAGGAAATGTGGCGGGTCGTACAAGGGAATACTCCTCAGCTACAAAAAGGGCCAAGTCCCAAAAGATACCACAACATGGATGAACCTTGAAGGTATTAGGCTGAGTGAGAGAAGCCAGACATCAAGGCCACATATCAGATGACTCCATTTACAAGAACCATCCAGAACTGGCAAATCCATAGAGACAGGAAGATCAGTGGTTGCCAGGGGTGGGGGGCAGGGAGAGGATGGGGAGTGACTGCTCATGGGTACAGGGTTTTACTTGGGGGTGACAGAAGTGTTTTGGAACCAGACAGAGGTGGTGGTTGTACAACACTGTGAATATACTCAATGCCAGTGATCTTCACTTTGAAATGGTTCGTTTCATCTTATGTGAATTTCATGTCAATAAATTACTTTAGGAAAAAATCAACAAAAAACCTTAAGTCAGATCATGTCACCAGTTTCCTAACTGTCTCAGAAAAAAAGCAAGAGTCCTGAGTGGGCGCTATATGATCTGTCCCCTTTGCTTCCTGTCCTCAGCTCCAAGGTTCCCCCCTTCCATACACCCCCAGGCCAGCACCTGCGGCTTCCTCTACCTGAACACCCTTACCCAGACCTGTGCAAGGCTCCCAGGCCTCCTCCCTTAAGGTCTCTGCTCAAAAATCACCTTCTCCATGACCTTCCTTCTTTTTTATTGTAAATAACACATAATGTGAAATTTACCACAGTAACCATTTTTCTGTGTACAGTTCAGTAATGTCAAATATATTCACATTGTTGTGAAACAGATCTCTAGAACTTTTTCAGCTTCCCAAATGGAAACTCTGTCCCCAATGAACGCTAACTCTGCATTTCCCTTCCCCCACCCCCTGGCACCCACCATCTACTTCCTATCTCTATGAATTTACTCTAGGCACCTCAAATTAGTGCAATCGTACAGTACTCGTCCTTTTGTGACTGGCTTATTTCACTTAGCACAATGTCTTCAAGGTTCATCCATTTGTAGCATGTGACGTGATTTCTTTTTTAAGGCTAATATTTAATTGTATATATGCACCACATTTCCTTTATCTATTCATCCATCAGAGGACATTTGGGTTGGTCCCACCTCTTGGCTACTGTAAATAATGCTGCTGTGAGCATGGGTGTGCAAATATCCCTTGGAGACCTGCTTTCAATTTTTTTTTATATATATCCAATGGTGGGATTGCTAGGTCAATATGGTTGTTCTGTTTCATTTTTTGAGGAACCTCCATAATGGCTGCACCATTTTACAATCTTTATCTCTCTAAAATGTAAATGCAAATTTCTACTTCTAAATGTAAATCCTTTCTAAGATGGTACATCTTTCTGAAGTATAAACCCCGCCTCTCTACCGCCTCACCCTGCAGTAGCGCCTCTGACTCTCAAACATCACTGTATTTCACTGATTCACCCATCTGCTGCCTGCCTCCCTGAGGGCAGGACTTCATGTTTTCTTCGCTGTTGCCTCTGCAATGACCAGCAGCTACCCACATACTCAGAAAGAGAATGCAAACGTGGTGAGGAACTAACTACCAGGGAGTCTGGGTGGAGGCTATAGGCAACTTCATTGTATTAGTCTAGCAACTTTTCCACCAAGATTTGAAGTGTTTTAAAATGAAGAGCTGGAGGAGTAGGACACACCTCCTAGCCTCCCACAGCCACTCCCCATGAGCTGGGCCAACACTTCCGAAGGGTTTCGGAGCTGGACAGCAGCAATGACTGGGCCCCAGCCCCGCATGTCCTCCGAGATGCCCCATGCGCTGTGGCCTGGGAAGCTGCTGAGGGAGTGGGTTTCACTTCTCTCAGTATTTGTGTTGGGGGTGAGGTCAGGGACATGGTGATAAGATATTTTGATGAGCTGAACAGTTTGGAAACAAAATTTCAATAGAGCCTCAATATGGTATCTTCCAACTGCACTGCTTCTGTTCTTAACATCCCGAAGGGAGAAAAGCAAGTATCCAAAACTGTGGGACCCCCAGAATAGCCTACACTGTGGGTGGCCCTGGAGATGGGACTGAGCCATCATCAGATGGCATGTGAAGGAGTAAAAGTCAACCCTCTTTAGTGTAGTTGTCCTTTCTTTTTCATTTAAAGTTAACAAACATTTCTATGGTCTCGCTTACTGATCTTAAGCCAGTCCCTGCTTTTCCTGGGCTCTCAGTGAAATAGTGCCTTCACTATTGCCCCCTAACCCAACAGCACATTTCCCACAGCCACAGTTACCAGGGCTGTCTGTTGGTCATCAGGGCTGTCAGTCAGCCACTTCTGTCATTCTACTCCTGTGTCTGAGCCTATCAGCTTCAGTTTCCTTTAGCCCTCCTACCCTGTCAATTCCCTCCGTTTCACCTGAAGGCCATGGGGCACACGAGCTCTCGGCCAGCTGCAGTGCGGCAAAGTGTCTGGGGTTCCAGAAAACCCCTTTTCCTTTGCTACTTACCTTCCGAGGAGGGGGCTGGAGTTTCTCAACACTGCAAGGATCTGCCTGGCCCACAAATGGCTGTCCATGGATGGAGTCCACAGTGGTGCAGCAGGGCTCTGGGTTTGGGGGGCTGGTCTGGGTGCAGCTGCTACAGCCACTATCCACCGAATCGGCCTGCCAGCTCCTAAAGGGGGACATGGCAAAGGCCCACAACACGCTCACCCAAAGTGATGGGTTCACTGCTGCACTCAGAGCACAGTAGCAGAGACACCGGTATTTGCTTCCAATCATTGCAGACAGTTGCTTTTCTTATAAAATGCACTTATGGCCCGGCAGGCATGGCTCAGTGGTTGAGCATTGACCTATAATCCAGGAGATCCCAGTTCAATTCCTGGTCAGGGCACATGCCCAGGTTTCAGGCTTGATCCCCAGCAGGGGCGTGCAGGAGGCAGCCCATCAATGACTCTCTCTTGTCATTGATGTTTCTCTCTCTCTCTCCCTCTCCCTTCCTCTCTCTGAAATCAATAAAAACATATTTAATAAAAATAAAAGTTCACTTATGTTTTCTCGGGAAGAAAATGCTACAAGGCCTTTCATTAAGAGGCTCCATCTGCCTTCATCACCCAACAGCACCGCTGAAGATGCGAGAATCCTGAACCCCCTCCTCAGGCCCCTTCCAGCTTCCTGCCTGGGCCTGAATACAGTCCTCTTACCCTCAGCCATGCCCTTCCCTCCATAAAAGAAATTCCTCTCAAATAAATCCAGGGAGAGCTACAGGAAGAAGCGGGAAGCTCTGGAAATATGATGCTCTTTATGGAAAACTGTGGAAGTGAAGCAACGTGAAAGCACCTCTGGGAAGAATCAGACAGAAGCCAATTGACTCGAGATGCTGCTCATGTGAGTTACTCCTCTGTGGCAGGCGGCTCTGTACTGAGTCACAGGGTCACCAGCAGGCCTCTTCTGGCAAAGCGGAAGGGCCATCACACGCTTCCACTCAGATGAAATGCCCAGACCAGGCAAACCCAGAGAGCCAGCCAGCAGACTATGGTTGCCAAGGGCTGATGAAGGAAGAATGGGGGTGACTGCTAATGGGTATGGGGTTTCTTTTTGGCCTGATGAAAACTGATTGTGGTGATGGTGGCACAACTCTGTGTACTGAAAGCCACCAAATTGTCCACTTTAAATGGGTGAATTGTATGGTAGGTAGATTATATGTCAATACAGCTGTTGAAAAAAAACTTAAAGGGACATTATTGTATTCTCTTTGGGTAGAATGGAGTCATTCAATAGTCCCACGCTTTAAGAGAAATCGCGGAACAGAAGGAGAAGGTGAAAAGCCTACATGGAGAGCAGGGGGACAGAGGTCACAGTATTCTATCAGCATTCTATCCCCCCTCAGAATCCCCACTTCTGGGAAGAATCGCCCAGCACTTTCTACAGAGGCAAGTATGCACCCGGTGACACAGCTCCTCCCAGAGCCACACTGACTAGCATAGCGACAGCCTCGTCTCCTGACATACCAAACAGGACACCACCTCCCTCCTCCCTGCCAGTCCCAAGGAGCCTCACCGCTCGGACACAGCCTCGGTCTGCTCCTCCTTCCGCTCCATGTCCAGGATCTCCTCCTCCGTGTACTCCAGCTTCACCCGCTCCTCCGCCAGCTCTCTCTCCACCGCCTGCAGCTGGGCTGTGGTTCTAGCCAGCAGCACCGTCACCGCGTCCTGGGGGAGGACAGGGACCTGTCTGAGAACTAGCTCAGACCAACAGGTGTGGGATTCCCCCCACAGTGAGGTCCTTTCCTCCAGGCTGGCGTCCATTCTTAGCTGCTCTCCAGTGGGAAAAAATCTACCCCACTGTTAACAGCAAGACAGGAACATGGCCTTTTCCTGTAGCTGAAGGCTGAAGTTTAAAAACAGCCAACGTGCCACTCACGATCATGAACACGCTTGTGTTAAACACTATTGTGAATGGCGGTGTGCATCCATATGTTCCATTTCTATGACTTCCTTGGAACTACACTCCTTCAGCACTACATTCTAAGATTAAGTCCACACGGATGCTTATTAGAGAGGACCTGCCCCAGTAAAAGCCAGTCTCAAAGCCAGGAAGCCAGAGCAAGCTGCTCTGCAGGCCAGGCACACGCACCGTCTTCCCAGAGGCAGCAGCTGCCGCGACAGCAGCGGCGGCGGCGGCATGCGTGGGGTCCCGGGTGCCACTCTTCTCGGCTCGCTGGCTCTCCCTTGCCCTGGGTGGCTCGGGGCTGGTGAATACCTGGACTGAGTACCAGCGCAGCTGCATTTCACTCGGACTGTTACAGTCGGCCAGATTAATTTGAGCAATGCCCTGCAAGGGTGTTAAAAAAAAAACAAAAAACAGTAGAACAGGCACTGAGTGATTTCACCTTAATAATCAATGTGAATCTTCTAAAACATCAAGGTCATCCCTCAATCCTAACCAGAGAAGAGGTACGATGTTTCACTGTCATTCAAACTGAATCCAGTAAAATGAAAGTGGTCACAGAGGATCCTAACAGGGACTGGGGTGGTTCCTCTATTGCTTATTCAGCCCAATCAGAAAGCGCTAGAAGGGGAACAGGGGCTGAGAACGGCCAACCTGAAGTGGTGGGTTGGGTTCAGGGTCTGCTGCTTGTTACGTGGCTGATGCTCTCAGGAATTTCTGAAATCAGAGAGGCTTGGCTTAACTCTGCAATCTGTAATTCTGCTGCTGAGGGGCCAGGACCAAAGGGCAATACTCCAACCTTGGAAAGAAATCACTCTGGCCTCCAAGTCCCGGGCTGGCATTGGATGGCTGGGTACTGAAGACAAACTGCCCAATAAAATATTGGGCATCCAGATGAATCTGAATTTCAAATAAGCAATTTTTTTTAAATATCATTATGTCCCAAATCCTGTATGGGACATACTTATGCTAAAAAAAAAATATCTATAGTTTATTTGAAATTCAAATTTAACTGACCAGCTTATATTCTTATTTGACAAATTTGTCAACATTACTTAGTTCCCACAACTAAAAACTGGGCAAGTTAGAAGTTGTTGACTAGGAGTTTTACAAGTATTGTTTGAGATAATATACTTAGAGTACAAAATACGTGACAATATAACTGGTTTTGCCATCCTTTTCTGTACTCCCAGTTACAGAGACCCTTAAGAGGACAATTTCTAAGCAACCCACCACAGGAAACTGGTAGGAAGGGACAGAGAGGAAAGGAGGGAGGAAGACAGGGGAAAGAATGAGGGAAGGATGAAAGGGAGATGGAGACAAAGAAAGGGGGGGCCAACATGACACAAAGACTAAGAAAGAAACAGGGAGAACAACAAAAGACAGAGTTGTGAAGAAAGAATGGGAGACAAAGAAAGAATGCTGGAAACACAAAGAAACAAAGGAGGGAGGCAGGGAAGGGAGAGGATAGGATATGCGAATGGGGGGGGAGGGAGAGCTCGCACATGCGCGGGCCATACCAGCAGTTCTTCCTGAAGCTGCGGATTCACTGAACATACATATAATTGAAGGGACTTCAACGTCAACATGCTTGAATGCACGGGGATTCTGAAAACGTCATTAAATACCAGGGGGGCCTGGAATTCCACAGCCTTGGAGCAGTAGGTGTCTGGTGTGCTGGAGTCCAGCGATGGCAGGTAGACACGGATGTGTCTGGAAGCAGAGGAGAAAGAGGCACACAGGCTACTGACAGTCTGCATGATACCACGTGCAAACATGCGCACATGACACGTGGACCCATTTGGACGCCATGGGCGGAACTACCAGGTCTTTCGGACAAAGTCTTTTTCTCAACTAAGAGTAAGTCCAAGGAATTTACGTGCCCTGGAGATTAGGGAAACCCATGCACAAAGAGCAAGACTTCAAAGGCAGTAGCCAGGAGTCAAACAGAGGTTCTGCTTTCCCGTGTTGTTGGGAAGATATCTGCACTGATCTCCCCATGGCCCCTGGCGGGTGGGGGGGGGAACCACTGGCACACAGCAGAGGCTCAAACACTGGGGAATGTGGAAAGTCACCAGGGAGCCCTCAGCCACTTCCACCCAAGCGCCTCATTAGATCAGAGCTGAGTGTGGCTTCATTACCACCCAGCCCAGTGACCCAGATGGACATTTTAAGCCCAAACACAGCCCATGATGAGTATCTGGCCACTTTATTTGTATCACTACACAACAGCCCGGCTCCATGAACTTCATCTGCCTCAAATAATGAAACAGACTCTTTAAAACTTGGAGCCCTGGTTTTTAAAAAAGACACTCTCTGGTTTTACTGTAAAATTCAGGTTCCAATAGGTCATTCCCCAACCCTAGCTGCCAATCAGAGCAGTCCAGGGAGTGGTACGGGCCAGGGAGGCCTCGGCTGGTGGGCTGGCTCAGGAGCTTACATTTTGCAGTCTTCCTTCACGACCAGCCCAGCGAAGTTCTTCAGCTGGAGCACATTCACGAGGAGACATTCACTGCCACTGTCATGCCTAGAAAATAAAATACTAACTCACAAACCACAAACTTCCCACAGTATATAAATGCATCTGACTAAACTACAGAAACCGAGGCCAATTCTGCCACCCCCCCGCCCCGGGGGACACATGCAATGTCTGGAGAAATTTTCTATTGTCATGACTGGGAATGGGGGTGCTCCTGGTATCTGGTGGGTAGGGACCAGGGATGCTGTTCAACACCCGACAGTGTGCAGCACATACCCCAAAACAAAGAAGGATACAGTCCCAAGTGTCACTAGTGCCAACACTGACAAACACTTGACTGAAATAACAAGAGTGAGCAAAAGAGAATCTGGGTATCTAAGGTGGTGAGCAGCCCCGATCGTATGGGTTCTTCCATCCCTCCTGGCTTGTGTGTGGAGGTGTGAGTGGGCCCCAATCTACAGCTCATCTTTACAGCACCAGGAAGGAGTCTTCTGTACTCACCAATACCCAACATGGATCTGCGGTCCTTCGATGACACAAGCGTCTCCATGTGCAGACTCATCAGCATCTTCAATCCTGAGCACAATGGGAAAGTCACAGGGGTTACTCCACAGCACTGCTGACTATGGGTTTAGCACAAGCTCTCTCGTGTTAGGGGTGCTTTGTACTGAGAGCAGCTTTATTAAATTACGATATAAGTTGATCAATTCTTCCAGTGACTCCGAGGGCACGGCAGGTCCCCCGGGCGATGATGCATCTCGTTGGGTACCTGCCTATGAACTGTTATATTTTAGAAAATAACTGCGTGCCTGTCAAAACCACATGATATTCAGGGCGAAGTTCAAAAATGAGCTTCTGGAAAGTTTGCAATAAATGAGATGAAACAATGACGGTAAAGATAACAAATAAAAATAACACCCCAAGTCCCAAAAGGTGCTTCGTCATTGCCAAGCAATTCCTCCAGCTAAGGAGAGGAGGAAGTCCATTTCTGATGTGTCCTTTCTAGCAAAGCAGGTCAGGCAGGTCTCTCTCGCATGGATTCTCCTTTTCCTGCTCTACTAGGCTTAAGCCTTAAACCCACCAGGGCCACAGAGAGAAGTCGTCCTAGAACCACAGGATGAGGGCCGGCCTCCAAACAGCACGCTGAAGCCAGAGGACTTTTCTGTGGAGGTTGCTAAGGCCCAACCTCCAACGTGGAGAGAAGCCAGAAAAGATCCCCTCCACCACCAGGTACACACGAAGTCTCAGGATGTGGAATCTCAGTGTGGGTCCCTTTCGTGCTGACCAGGAACCTGTGGGATGGCTGCTTGGAAGAAGGAGACAAGATCAGCTTCTAACCTTTTGGTTGGAGGTTCAAATACCCCGCTATCAGTAGCCAGAGAGTAATCCGACAGGCACGCAGAAACGCGGCGCGCTCTCCTCTCCAGCCTCTTGGCGCTGTCTTCTCGAAGAGTCACTGCTGCAAATAAGAGACGGGCGGGGTCAGGAGACAGCACGGGAGGCCAGGCACCGTGGTGCGAGGAATGAACACTGGGTTAGAGCGCAGACACAGTTACTGTGTTCCCGAGACACGCCACCGTGTGCATGCGTATGTTTCAATACGCTGCACTTGACTTTCTTTTAAACATTGAAAAAAATCAAAGAAATAGACTTCTGGCTACTTCTTTAAAAGCTCCTGAAACTGTTTTAAGTCTCTTTTCACCTCCTAAATGAGAGCAGAGAACATGAGGTGACAGTGGGAGCCCCTTCACATTGCACTTTGAGAGACTGTCAAAGACCAAGAAAGAAGTGTGAGCCCAAATGGGGACAGCAGGTGAGCTCTCTGAGTGGGAGCACATAGTTTTCATTTCCTTCTTGATTCTGTTTGGTATTTTCCATGTTTTATATAATAAACATAGGCTAGTATTTTACAATCAGAAAACAAAAAATTTTTTTAAAGTATCCAAATAAACCGTAACAATATGTAGTGACTTTCAAGTCAGAGGACGCGGTTGGGCCCAAACTCAGCCTTTGAAAACTTTTCTTTGAACAGCAGCCTAGCTTTCCTGGGGTTAGAACGCTACCGTTTCTAGGCAGCTTGTTTTTGTCTCATATCTATTTTAATCAAGAGCCTAAGGTAACCACTGACACTTTTCCTTCCTGCCATTTCTTCAACTGTTTCTACTCCTTCCCTCAGCACCAAGTGCTTTGTAACAAAACCAACAAAAACCAGGCCTGTCATCTTCCTGCAACACGTGGACTATGTCCCCGGGCCCCCAATTGGGCCTCTCTGTGACACGGGGATGCCTCCTGTTAATAACGCAGGTCCTTTGTTGTCTCTGCTTTTCTTCAGTCATCTAAGCTCCAGAAATTGAAAATCTAGATACCTGTGCAACCCCCAGGTTGAGGGAAATTAGTGAGTCCACCTACAACCATCTCCCTTTTCCACCAAATTACTATTCACACACCAATGAAATCCAAGCATGTTCAACAGCACACAACACAGATGGGCTATGGTCCTTGGTCTCACAATCTTAACCAGGGTGGCTGGAGGCACTGACTCAAACTGTAGATCAGGATCCCCAAGCCCAGCTCTTCTCGTTGCTCCCGCCATCTGGAAGGGCCCAGAGTCCCCAGCTCTGAATTGCAGATGGAACCTCTTGGTTTAACGCATAGATCCCAGGAAACAAAAACTACCATTTTCACTCCCAGCCCTGACACTCGGCCTGGCTCCAACATGGCCTTCTGTTCCTTTAAGCCTTAAGGGAATAACACTATGTAATAAGCACTTCCAGTGAAGCAGGCGGTGCAATTCTGACAGTTTCTCTCTCATTGCCAGGTGGATGAAGAGACAAAGGAAATGAAAGAGTTACTCCTCAGTGACCCCAGGCTCAGCCACTGAAATCACGGAGCAACTGGAAGCAGAGTTGACGGAAGGAAGTGCGGTCAGCAGTTGCCCCAGGTGAGAAAAAGGCGCACAGGAGAGCCCCCTCCCTTCACACCCTGCCGTCTGCTCTCAGGCTTCAAGGCAACGAGATGGATCATGGGAGCAATGCCAGTGAATCCTCCAAACAGTCATTTATAAAATATCAGCTTTTCATCATTAAAGACACACAGACACACAGACACTGAGACCTACAGACATCAACACTGCTTGACAAAAAGGAAAAAAATATAATGAAAAGCACACTGCAAGCAAAGCTGCCACTTAGCATATCAAAGTAATGAAAGCCATTAAAAATCTAGTGGGAAATACATAGAAGAATAAAGACCAAGCTTTTACAAAAGCTCCTCCCTACATGGCTTTAGTAGGCATGACGAATTTTAATGTTTAAATAACAACAGTGGTAATTGTTGAACTTCATTAAAGTCCAACTATGAGATATGCCCTCTTGGCCACACCCCGACCATCCTGAATGCACGGACTCATCGCACAAAGATGTGTCACAGCCTGACCAACAAGGTGAAGGAGAATTGCAAGGTCACTTACAGTGAGCGTTTCTGTCGAGTCGCATGAGAAAAAGAGATAAAAAAAAAAGCACAAAGTGAAAAAACTGCAGAATTCAAGCCAACAATTTTAAACAGAGTATGAATATCATAAAAACATCAAGGAAGAGATAAGCAAAGTCAAGGATTTCATAGATTTAGATTAGCAAATGCCAATGGAAATAAAAATTGAAAAGTATTTCAAAACGATGACACATTTGACTTTTAAAATTCAGGGAAGATAAAACTGCAGTAAAAATGTAAAAAATGTTCACGATTACAATCTATTGCCATACTTCTCTGCATTACCTTCTGTTCCTGCAAACTGATTTTAAAAACACGACAGAAGGTTGTGTTATATATCCTAGGGCTTGCCTTGTAGGTTTGGGCAATTTTGAATTTTATCTTACTAAAATTGTATCTAACTAAAACTTGCTTGAGGTCAAACTTAGGCTGTACTGTTCCTAGTGAGACTGGAATAGAAAGTCAGAGGAAACTATGTAACCTTGGGCTTCGGAAATGAAGGGCAGGGTAACCTGAGTGCTAAGGTCCTCGGGAACTTATGAAACTACAATGGCTCTGGGATCAGGCATGTCCACAAGCACCAAGGGAAGCAAAGGAGTCACTTGTGTCCGAGCCTGAAGCTGGTTACTCAATCCAGCCCTTTAGGAGCACCCATCAGGACCCCCATTCCCTTGGTCATTTCTAGTTTGTAAGATCAGTCAACTGACAGTGTCATACAAGAATACACCAGCAGGTGGCAGCATCTCACCATAGTATACGCAAATACCTTTCAGTCTAAGAAGTTTGAAGCATTATAACATTGGCAACAAAGGGCAAAAGAAAAATTAAGAGATCAGGATCAGAAATTAAGTCAACTCTTCTCTTTCCCACCATGTCTCTCCCCTGGCCTAAAAGGGCCCTTGGGCCTTGTGTGCATTTTCTGCAGAATGAGACTGATACTCTTGTATCTCAACCTTTAAAGAGAAGTTGGCATGGGGGGCCAGGGGCACTGAGAAAGTAAGCTTAAGCAACAACAGATGTGCAATTCAGTCCTTATTTTGTATTTTCTTTTGGAAATGAAAGGAGTAAACATGGAGCCCTGAACCTGTGATTATAAAGAACAACAAAGCGAATGAAGATCACCTGTATATGTAAATTACAGAAACCCTGTATCTGAGGATATGAAAGGTGTGTTTGCAAACACAGAGGGGAAGGCACAAAGTAACAGATGCCAAAAAGCCCTGGGGCTGCCTCAGAACATAATGGGTCTCTGGTTAAGTATGTAAGAGTTAACAGAGACTATTATTTTATATGTATATATAGTAACCAATGTGGTTAGATATTTTTAAAAAACCAATGGTGGTGAAAGGAAGAGTCCATAAAGATCACCTCATTCAAGGGCAGGGAAGCTAAGACTCAGTCAAGTCTGGGGATGTGCTCAAGGTACCCAGCTAGCAAGTCAACAGGACAGGGGACAGAATCCAGGCCAATAAGCTGCGAGTCCGAAGCTGTTTCCACTATACCACCCTGGTTCTGTATTCACATTTTATTTCTACCCTTTGCTACTAAACTACTCAACAGTATGTGACCAGGATTTCTCAGCCTCAGCACTACTGACGTTTAGACTGGGTCGTTCTCTGTGGCCGGGCATCCTGTGAGCTGTAGGGTGTTGAGCAGCATCCCTAATCTCAGCCACTAGATGCCAGCAGCGCCTCCCGGCCAGCGCCCTCAGTTGTGAAAGCCAAAAATATCTCTGGACATTGCCAAGTATCTCCTCAGGGACAAAACGCCCCTGGGTGCCATCCACTATGCAGTAGAAATTATCCAGTGCTCACCTAATAGAATGTCTAAAGCAGTTTTGCTGTGCAAATAAAAATTAAATAAGCTTAACTTCAGGAATGAAAGGCCTTGTTCTTGATCTTCTCTCAAACTCGAGGAAGTTAAACTTTCTGGAGATTGGTTCATAAAAGTAAGCAGGGTCAAGATAAGGAGGGTTGAAGCCCAGGCCTGCCTTGTGCACAAGCCATCAGCTGGGATACTCTCTAGAAGAGCAGTTTGGTTTTCCATGTGGGCTACAAGCTGACAGACCTGGCATCAAGTAGAAGCTGAATTAACAGCAACTGAATGGATAAAGTTCCCAGTGGCTACACATTTCTCGGTTTAAAGACCACCAGAGAAACTGATCTGGCAGAAATGACTGATGCTTTGAAATTATACCAATTATTTTCATTTCCACTTCCGATAGAATTACGTCCTTGAAAACTACAAGGACGAAGGATGAAGAGATGAAGTCATAAAGACAGAGGAAGCAGAGATTTCCCTGGGCTACACCCTGGAGAGCTCACTGAGGCCCTAGCACCTCCCTATAGGCCTCTGGATGTGGAAGACTGTGTTTCTCTTCCCCTCATCTTCATCAATTAAGCACACCCTGAAAACAAGCCAAACACCTGGGAAAGACTCTTTTGCCAATTTTGATGACCTTTCCAGGACAGACTGGGGAAGGCCCCACATGACAGCGGGCCAGCCTCCCTCATCCTAGCGAAGGTCCTGAATTTAAAGCTCACTGTGTCGCTGCAGAGCCAGCTGGCCTCAATGCCCTTACACACGACTTCTTCCCTGAATTTGAAGCCTTCCTCCCAGGACCAGGGAAACCCACAGGACTTGTCAATACTTACTTGTACTGGTGGCAATGGCAGCCACTTGGGGTCCTCGCTCACGAGGTCCTTCCCCATCCCCAGGGAATGCATGCTGCGGAAGGGACGCCGTGCCCTGCAAGTCTTCCTCTCCCAGTGCAGAGGCCTGAGCCCGCAGTCTGTCTAGGGTGCCCAGACCTGGCACCTCCAAATTGTCCCCCAATGGGGCCAAAGGCGAGTCACGAGAGGCTGGGAGGAAGGGCGTATCCAAGGGCGAGCTCGGTGGAGAAAGGGAGGACAGGGAGGAGCGGGAGGACAGGGAAGCCAGGGACTGAGGCGTGTCCAGGGAGCGCCTCTGCTTGTGGAAGCCCACGGGGCCCGGGGGGTCTGAGAAGGGGACATCTCGCCCTAGGGAGTCGAAGGGAATCAGATCAAAGCGCAAGAGCTGGCTGCACTCGACATCAGGTTTGTCGTACTGTGGCAGGCCGTAGATGTCGGTGAAGCTGACAGAGCTCAAGGAGCCCCGGCTGGAGGCCAGCGAGCCCCGGCTGGAGGCCAGGGACCCACGGCTGCTCCCCGAAGACACTGTCAGGGTGCTGGCAGACAGGCTGAAACGAGAGAGCCCACACCCTTAGGAAAGCAGCTGAAGATGAGCACTGGAGCCCTGCTGTTCACCACAAAGCTGAGCAGCTAATCTCTTCCTTCGGGAATAGAATCTTCCTCATCCTCCCATGAACCAGAGCATGTCTTTAAACCCCTGTGAGCACTGCAAGGCACCTTCATTAATATTCCTCTTGTTTCCTTTCAGTGTCTGTAGAGAGCAGTAGTTAACATCAGGGGTCATGCCTGAGTTCAAGGTCCAGCTCCCAGGAGGACTAGCTGAGTCCACGTGGTCAACTTATTTGCCCTTTCTGAGCTCCCCACTTCTGGCAGCTATGAAGGAAACAGCTCCTATCTCCTGGCCTCTTTCGAAGAATAACAGAAAATTCTACATAGAAAGCCCTTAATGCTATGCTTCACAATACAGTAAGTACTTGAAAACAGGAGCTACTATTGAGCATCCAAGTCACATTTTAAAATATCCATAACCAAAAAATATATATCCATAACCTTTTTTTAAAATAAAACAAAATAAAAAGGTCCATGTGTATGTATGTAGATGGATATACACACTTCTGAAGCTGGGAATTACAAAATCCTTGGGTAAATTTGACTTTAGACTAGTTATTCTGCAGCCAAATTCAGTTTCCTCATATTCCTTGAATCATGTATTAGCAGCTCTTCTTAAAAATATAGCGTCCCCACTTTCCCATTCTGTCTTTATACCCCTTCCAGTTCTAAGTTCTGGTGGAGAAAACCAGGCTAAAGGGAATTATGAAGTTCACGGACATGTCATTATAACATGATATTCATAACATGGTAATTAATATAGCTTTCTTGTTTAAAGGCACCTACCTTTTTAGCTGGGACTGCAGATAAGATGTTAGGCGAGTTGCTTCTTCCAGCTGCATAAGTAGACAGTTTCTCTTTTCCTGAAGTAGAATCCTGAGGGAAGAAAACAGCCCACTGGTAAATTTCAAAGGCAGTGAGTATATTTTCCCAACGAGAAATTCAACTATAAATTCCCCTCAACATGATTTCAGATTGAATGGCTAAATTCTAAAAAGCACATCTAAGTCATAAATGCCCAAATAGCAGAGACTAGTTTGTCTTGCTTGAGAATGAACCACCAGCATCCTGAATAGTGCCTGATGCCCTGCAGAAGCTCAATAGATGGGTAGACAGGTGGGTGGACAGAAGGGAAGGCACACACTCCCTCCACCTCCTTTCTGCTTGGCGAGGAAGCAGGCCAGGCAATAGCTGCCCTAACCAAGGCCCTTCTCAGGCCATGTGCAAGTTCTCTGGCAGAGCTTTTCGAGTTGGTTCTTCATAAGAAGGTGGGTGCTGCTCCTGGAAGTGTGGAGGCCAAGCCCACCTTTCCGTGGCGCCCTGCACGGAGGTGGCCCGTGCGCGCTGGATCTCCTCCTCCAGGCGCCTCCTCTCCTCCTCTAGCCGGGCCACATCTTCCGCCGGCCTTCTCTGCTGCACAATGAGCTGCAGCTCCTGAAGCAGGGCTTCTTTCTCCTTGACAAGCTGCAGCCGGTCCCTGTCAGCCTCAGCCATGCCCGGCCAGGACTCACTGTCCAGCTGGGCCAATTGCTGCTGGATGTTGGAGACTCTGCAAGAAACAGAAACAGAAAAATCCATGAACTGACAAAATCGTCTTCACACATTCTCAGCACCATCGCAGTGATTCTAGAAACTCACTTTGCTAAGTAAACACGGAAATTATTGCAGAGTGACCCTTACATCACAAAAATAAAGAATTGGGGAATGACGTGTATAAAAATGACGTGTAAGTCCTTTGCATAATCTCCCCTGGGCTGACACATCAGGCTTGTGTCAAGGAACTGGCAAAAAGGCTGGCTGTCCTCCACACACTGCGTGCTGAGCAGGTTCAGATCCATGGTTTCTTACGTGGTCCTGTCCCAGAGCAGGAGGGAAATGGCTCTTTCCTCCCCACCTCCCATCACCACCAGCTAAAGCACCACTGGACATGTGAGTGGGGCTCCCAGCTTCCTGCCTGCACTGCTGTGCCTGCTAACACCACCTTGACAAAGTACAGGAGAGATGTGCACCCATGACAGCACTTCTGAGTGAGGGGCTCCAAAGCCCGGTGCTTCGTCGGCTCTCTCCTGCCCCAGAGACCTTGACTGTGTGTGAAACTCCAAAAACCGTGCAGAGAGCAAATAGTCAACAAAAGCTGAGCGCACAGAGCAGTGCGTGCATGCGCCAGCAAATGTATGGAAGGGTGAGAGTTGGCCCCGGTGAGCGTGGGCATGAGCAGGGCATGAACTCATCAGCCACACTAAATGTGTCACTGCCACCGTCCTCAAGGTGCAAAAACACAGACTCTATTGTCACTTTCCACGTGCCTCAATGTCCACGTTGTTTCCCCAGCAAACAGACCGCACACTTTTTGTGTCCTAGGGTGTTGGCGAATGCAGATTAAGTGAAATAGATGTGCTCAGATTTTCAGAGCATCCTTTCAAAGCAGAAATAGCATGTTTTTAAGTGTGAGTGTTATCTGTTTCCAGACAGAAACAAGGGGCACCAGACTCTACTCAAACCCAGCACTGTGGAGGACAGAGGTTGGCTTGCATGCCCAAAACAAAACCCAGATTTCTCGGGAGTCAAAGGGAGCTGTGAGGACAGGTAAATGGCAGGCGCACACAGTACTGCAGCCTCTAAGGAAGCAGTTCTCATGGCAGGGTCCCTGACCCCCAGCCTCAACATCACCTGGGAGCTGTTATAAATGCAAACCTCGAGCCCCACCCAGACCTACTGATGGTGACATTCTGGGGACATGGTGGGGCAATTTGGGTTTTAACAAGCCCTCTGCTTTCAGGCAGCCTGGCTGGTCTGGAGGTGGCCCACTGGCCTTGGGGCTCTCAGGGGCTCGCATCAGGGACCAACGTGATGATCCTCACCAAAACAGGAATGGTGGGAGTGCTCCTGAGACTACCAGTTCCTGTGGCCAGGGCACATGTCACTAATCAAAGCTGGCATCCTGCCCACTGGATCCAGAATCCTCAACACTGTGCTCCCTGCAGGTACTGCCAATCAACTGGCGCTGGCCCATGTGTTAAAGCTTGTGGCCAGCCCTGCACCAAGCTGGGCTCCTCCTGAGCTAGACATGAGCATGGGGACCAGTCACCTGCCAGAGGACCAGGCAAGACTCCTTCTTCAAGTACCAAGCCAGTGAGAAAACGCAGAGCAGACAAGCTATGGTTTAGATGTATGCATTTTACTCACGTCCAATGCCCCAAGATGGTCAAGAAAATAGTTGAACGTCAGTAGCTTTATTAGGCAAGTTCTTTCCTAACTTAAAAACTAATTTCCTGAAAATGTGTTGGAAAATGGTGCCAAATCATGTCACTGAAAAAACTAATGACAGAGGCAGCTGAAAAGAGTTAGGAATCCAACTGGGGTTAGGCGTCCACCTATGTCTAATTAGTGTAATTAAAATTTATGGCACTCATATAACCAAAACCCAAGGAAAATACACTCTAAGCAGACCCATAAATAAATCAGTGCCAAATCGGACACTATACTCAGTGAAAATTCTGGAACATTCTACTGGAGATCAGGACAAGTCAAAGATAAGGAATAAATGTAAAAGAGATGAAGAACAATGAGCAAATCCATTGTGTCCTCATAATTTTTCATTTCAATTTAGCGGATCAACAGGAAAACCTATCTGAGCCCAGCCAACGTTAGTGCATTGCCTTGTAATATGTACTAATTCTCATACATATGCTGCAAGCAGGTGTATGTTAAAAGCACTCCTTTTGAGATTTCTGAGGTGTACACATCAGATCAAGATTCCTTTGAGTCAGCTCCAGGTTAGCTGAAGTGCTACAAGGATTCAAGTTGTTGAGGGTGACAGAAGATGCAAGCCTAGATAATCCTAGTCTTTCCTAGAAAATCTCAAGGAACAACACTATCAGAAAAGAGAACGGGGGGCAGGGGGAGGAATTGTATGAGAGAGGAGAGGCAAAGGGCAAATTTCAAAAGGTCTGCCCACTGTGGGCATCAAACAAGTAGTACTGTGGCCCAACTTAAACACTGTAGTATAACTTTGCACAGCTCGCGAGAGAAATATGCAAAGACATACAGCGAGGGGCAGCCTTGGGAGCAGATACAAAATCTGGATGAAGCTGACTTCATGCGACCCATCTGGAAAAGCTGTTTGTGCTGTGCTGAACACTAGGCAAGCATTTCTGTGTTTAAGAATCATACTTTTTTAAAAAAAAAAAAATTCAATTCCACAATGATGCAAATGACTGCACATCCATTTCAGAGCCATACGTGAGTCTAGAAGAACACTGGCATCTTTTGCGAAATGCAATTTCTTTCCCTATACCCACACTCTGGATGCAGCCACGTGGGACCTGCTCTCAGCCAGGTGGAGAGAGCACATGTGTCTGTCTGTCTGCACTGGAAGCCAAAAGCTCTAGAAGGATTCCTTCAATGATTCTTTGTACTTTCGCCAAGGGATAGACAAGACGGCTTTGCCCTTAAAACAATGTGCCTTGTCTACCATGCTGCGAGCCTGGAAACAAGCCACCCCAAGGAGCAGCCTTAGTGTCAGGTTTACGGAGGAAACAGACTTTCCGCCTCAGGCCAAACACGGCTGCACAGTTCCAATGCTACATCCACGCCAAGCAGCTGACCCCAGGCTTGGAGCCCCCTCCTGAGAGTGCCACCATTCCAATTCTGGGTAATACAAGAAAAAAAATTCCAGAAAGGCTCTTTTCTGAAATATCACTTCAGTGAAATTAAATACATGGAAGCAAACTGAGGTCATGATTAAAGTTTACAAAAAAGAAACTTTCCCAAGTTCATTTTTAAAGAACTGAGAACAACTTAAAATTGGCGAGGGTTTTTTTTCCCTATAGGTCAACTGTATTTTTTATTGATTCTTATTTCTGATAGGTAATATATTTTATGGCCTGTGTATAATCTCTCACAAATGCCTTTAAAGGCTTTAAAATCCATGTCCCTGTGTTCATGGTGGTGAAGAAATGAAAGCCAGTCCTCAGTTAAGCATTCAGGTTTCATATTTATTATGTGACTTCCAAATTCAATTCCCCGAACAGGTCTAGCGTGGACAGAAGTAAAACAGGAATCCTTTTTCCTTTACTATTTTTGCCCAAACACCTTTTCTGTTACAACCCAGGCACCAGGAAACCATGAATGGAAACCTGCATTTATGCTGCACATGCTCCTTGGACCCTCACAATTCACATGAAAGTCTTAAAATATGATTTGAGTTTTTCCAAGAAAAAATGCCCTTTCTGTATTACACAGTTTTGAGGCATTTTTACACAGCCAGAGTAATCCCCAATTATTTGATTGATAGCTAAATTCTGCAGTCTACTATATATTTTCCCATGTTTTTGAAATACTGCTGCTTCCTGGGACGGAAGTAACAGTCCAGGCAAGCGCGCTCCCACATGACCGTGATGGGATGTGGCGATCCCGATGCTGCATTCCAGGCCGAGGTGTCAGCCTAGAGCCTCGGCCTTCAGATTTCGATCACAGCAACTGATCTGATACCCGTTAAGTTTGCTCACCTTCATTTTCTTTTTGTAAATATCCATGTAAATGAAAAGCACAAGTTCAAGAAAATCTCAGCTGAGATCTAAGATGAACGATGAAATCACTTCAGCTGATTGAACTAAACATCGATAAGCCAGTGTCCACTTGGCTGAACTCTTAAGTCTACACTGGAAATCTGAGAAGTCTGAACCTAGAATAGGCCGCGTAAGGGTCTACTAATACCCTGACATTCCTCCCTGCTCTCACATCTTTTCCCCTTTGAATGAACAGATCTTCAGAGAGCGATGTCTTTAAATGAAAAGCAGACAGTCTGCAGGCTTCTTTTTCTTGGCCTGAACGGGGAAGAGGGAGCTACGACGTCAGGGATGCTCTCTTTTGTTTCTCATAGCTGTGCCCCACCCCCAAAACCCAGATACACAGTCACTTGAGAAATGAAGAAAAAATCCAAGCGACTGATCAAATTCCACTGGAATCCTAACACCACACTGATTCCTGACAACGGATGAACAGCAGGACCCATCCTGGCAACAAACACTGAGACACAGAGAAGCTGGATGGGTTGAATGTTTTGTTCCTATCTGGACTGCGAGTGTTTCTATGGAAACAGCTACAGTTTGTGCACAGTTCTGGAACAAGTGCTCTTAGGTTAAAAATAAGGAGCTATCTGCGTCATCGAGATTGCTTCAAGAAGACTTGCTCTTCCAAACTGGCCTTGAAAAATTCCAAAATTTTTAACCAATAAATTTTAACCAATATCCCTATCATAAGGTCTGCCCTGAGAATCCAAAGTGATGTTACTGAAGAGAAAAGAAGCAGCTGTTTGGGTGCATCTCACATAACGCAGAGCTGAAAATATAGAACTAGTCATGATGTGGGGGTTTGGTCTGGAGAATTCTCTAGAAATCATACCACTATTTGGAATGATGAGTCCCACCACTTCCACAAACATCCTTAGAATTCAAATACATATGGGACCCCTCATTGTCCGCAATACTGTATTTTAATGATTTCCCAACTCTGGAAAAAATCGTATATCTAGACACACAAGCAAAGACCTCTCTGAAGTACATGCATGGGGACACTTTTCCCAGTTTAGAAATGCAAAGCCCAGGAGGTTTTGGAGGTTTTAGAGGTTTTGCAGGCGGTGGAATGATTTTGGATGACACTAAGCCACCTATATCACCCAGGATCATCTCACTATCTCAGGATCCTTAATCCCACCAGATGCTAAACGCACCTCCCCAGAGTTGTAACAACCCAAAATGTCCCTAGACATTTTGGGCCAGAAGTCCCCTGGAGGGTCCCCCTCCCCCTGCTGGGAACCCTGCTAGTGGGAAAAGGACAGTTAGTGCTTGTCCAAGCCACCCCGGGAGGTCTGTACTACATGTCCCTACTTTTTAAATGTTGCCAGTGCAGCCCCAAAAGGCCTTTCTGAGGAGTCCCTACTGTCCCAGAAAAGTTGAGACACTGGGGACAGGACCCTCCTTTGTGGCTGCAGTGTCTTTTAGCACATTTCCAGCAACCTTGAAACACTACCTTCAGTCAACAGATACTGACCAAGGGCAGTGTCCTCCCCTGAGTAATTTTCTCAAATACTCAACTTTTTACCCAAATGTATTATCTCGACATACCATCTCTAGAAAACAAAGATACCATTTGCTCTATTTGGTAAATGTCACAGCAAACACGTAGCAATTATGTTCCCAAGTGTAGCAACCACCTAGTTTCTGCGCTTTCGACAACACAGCACATTCCAGCACCCACGTCGCACAGTTCCAGTGGGAACATGCGAGAACGAGCAAAGGGACACTCCAGGGGGACAGTGATCCTGACCCACACCAGCCAGCTCGGAGGAGGAATGAACCGAGATGGGGAATATGAGCTCAGAGATAAGCGCGTGGCCGCCTGGGCTTGGCCGCAGTCCACGTGCAAATGGAAAGCCCACCACGAGTACCTCGGGGAAAGCCAGGAAGGACGGGGGAGACCGCCTGGGTGAACAAAGGCCCGTGTCAGTCCCAGCCGGCCCTCCAGCGGGGAGTCAGATGATCTGCTTTTGTTGCTATTTTTACATTTTCTGAAAAGGCAACAAAGTGGTTTTCCAGACATCCATGAATGATACAGTATACTGAACAGCCCCAATGACTGGGCTTCCAGAAGGGACCCCTCACCCCACTTGGCATTCCACTCCTCCTCCCCCGCCCCCCAAGATAACAGTTCCTATGCAACAAAAGAAACTTTAAAAAGATATGCTTTACAGCTTTCCGAAGCACATATTTTGAAATCATTTGGTTTTAAGACTTTCCAGAACGCAAAAAAGAGAGAATCTCTGAAGAGAGGACAAGAAAGCTAGGCAGGGTCAGAATATTGAAAACAGGGACCCTGCAGACATGGGGAAAACTCAACATGCTAAACCTCCCCTGTGCCTGTGACAACTACATACTACTTTTCAATGTTGCCCAGGCCCTGTGGCTAAGACTGAGAGGCAGGGAGAAAAGACAAATTTGAAAATGCACGAACAAGGTCAAGTCTCAATTTTCTGAAGGCAGATGACTTACAACACAGGTTAACAGAAATGACTGCCTTTCAATTCTCTGTGAGCATTAAATAGGTCAGGTGCTGCTATCACCTGTTGACCTGATCCTTATGAAACTCTCTTTCAAACCAAGATACATGACTTTTTCCATTAACCTATAGAGTTCAAAGCTACATATTAAAAGATAAAAAACCATTTTGCTTAAGCTGGTCTGAAGGACTGATGCTCAGATGAAAGGGGTGGGGGGCATAAAGGAAGAGAGGAGAGAAAAGAGGGTGGGAGGGAGGGAGGGAGGCAGGGAGTTCTGAACTATCTGGGAGGATAGGAAGAGCCGAAAAAGTCTCTATTTTTATTAAATTGTGTCTTTATAACTATTCACTATCTTGAAAATTTCACCATTTTAAATATACATGAAATTTTGTCCATGTATTAAGAGGCTACACACAAAATGAAGATATTTTCTTTTTTATTCTATCAGACACTGCTTTCCAAATAAAAGGTGGACAATCACACATCAGAATGCTGAACAAAGTCTTTCCTGGGAGAAAGAAAGGCAGCAGAAAGATTTGAAAAAGGGGACCTTACCT